GTCTGTGAAAAGGCCTACAAGGGCTAACAGATGAACTTTATGGCTTTATAAAGTCGAGAAAACGTTCGATTTTAGTGATTTATTCTTATTTAAAAGACAGTTTATTTGAATGCAAAGTTCTAAACAAGGTATGTGAAAGGGGTACCATTTGTCAATAGAAGGTATACGAAAGGGGTACTTTTATCGTGTGAAAAATGGTATATAAAAGGGTAAGGGGTTGGACCTCGGGGCGGAGCCTCCCCGTACAAACATTTGTTGAGTACCCCCGAGCAGATATGTCTATTATACCGAAAAGAATTTAGCTACCAAATGGTAGAGGAGCATAGGCCCCATTTATACAAAATAGGAAATGGGTATATGAAAAGTAAGGATTTCACTTGTTGAAGTACGTGAAACGGTAGGGAGATCTGCAATTTCGGTCGGTAAAAAGGCTAAAAAAAGCTAAAGATGCATTTTAATGCTGTGAAAAAGTCGAGAAAACGTTCTGATTTAGTGATTTATTCACACTTTAACCCCCTAAGCCCTAAGAGTGATCGGCATCAAATTTCTCCTTGTAATATCAATGCTTTGATAAACAGAGTGGTCATGAGAATTACGGACATGATCACACAAAATAAATTTGCTTGATATTTTATCAACTTCTCCTCAGTACTTCTGTAGGAAATGAATAGGGCAACAAATGAGAATTCAAACTTTGATGTTAGAGTTTAAAGCGTTAAGGACAGTGGATTTACAGCAGTTGAGAGACTAGAGATGCAAAGTTCTAAACTAGGTATGTGAAGGGGATACTTTTTTTTATCAATAGAAGGTAGACGAAAGGGGTACCTTTTCCGTCAAAAATGGTATAGAAAAGGTTAAGAGGCTGGAACTCGGGGCGAAGCCTCGCCCGATTAAACTTTTTTGATGACCCCCTGGAAACGCCCAGTCCAAGAGGAAGAGCGTTGCGTGACGAGACAAAAACGGCTGCGTGATGTGAGACACAATCATGACAACGGCCATGGCCGGCAGGTGATATTTCACGTGTTTCCATCGTGCGCAGTTTTGAGCCGAGATCATAAGAGCTTGAATGTCTCGTGATGTTCAAAGCTAAGGTTTACATACACCAAGAGGTATTGTGTCATTCATCTTTTGGTAATTGGGTAGTTATGGCAAAAACAATTTTATGTATTAGAAGTCTCGACGATGATTTGGATCCCCACATCCAGGCCGTTTTAGAACAAGTAAAATTACTCGATAATGAGGCAAAATTTGTTTGCCTTAATCCTTATTCTAGAGGTCATTACATTGAAATCACCGCAGGAAAAGATTCGGAGCTTAGTCCGAGCTGCGTTATCGTCGTGGATGGCGATCGAATTCCTGCTCAATCAATCACATCGGTCTGGTATCGCATGAAGCCTGTTATTCTAAAGGGTGATGAAGACCTACAAGGTAGATCTTTTATTTTTAAAAATTTTCAAGGCTTTTTATTCTGTTGTTGTTGTTTTTTTTTACTTTTTATGTGCGTAGTTAAGGGGCACCCAGCGACTTGTTTCTGTAAAATAACTGTTCGAAGGAGCACATATTGCCTAGAAATGTCTAAAGCTTGAAAAAAGCTAAAAATTTCTGGATAACCGCTCCATTTGTCTTAAATGTTGGGAGGTTTTTCTAATAGCTTAACTACGATTTTCGGAGGTTGTGTTATGTCCACATTTTAATACCAAGGTACTGCGATTATTGTCAAAAAAGGTCTCCTAAAAATTTCGGTATAAAGACAAAACGTCCCCTATAATACAGATAATTTTCTAATGAAACTGATGAAAGTAAGGCTACTTCTAGCGTCCCTAGACTGTTCACAGTCCTCTATTTTTCCGTAAGATCATCGAGATCGAGCAACTTTGCGTTACGTGCTGCCATCTTGCATGAGTGTCAAAACCACTTTATAATCCGCGACGCCCGCCCCCTCGGTACATTTGAAAATCAAGATACCCGTGACGGTAAGACGCGGTATATCTAAACGATCTCACGAAAAAATAGGGGACTGTGAACAGTCTACAGCGTCCCCTGCAGACATTCTTAGGCGTGCGTCACGCGTTCCACCTAAGAATGTCTGCGGGGGAGGCTAGGCTACTTCATGTCCTCAAACTTTCTACCGGATCCATCCCAAAGGGTAGCTGACACTTTCGGACCCGGACGAAAAAGCACTTAAGATTTTCAGAGCAACCCCAAATTAACTAAACAGGCTTCTAAAGCCAGTAGAAAACCATTCGAGACACTTTTGGCGTATTTGGAAACATTCGGCCGTTGGGTGCCCCTGGTAGTTGTTATAAGTAGTAATAGGTAAGTTTTACTTTGCGTCGCAAAATGATTTGTGGTGGCGTAGAGTACTCCTCGATACTAATATTGCTTTGCGCATTCTCTGCACTGCGCTCCTTCATTTTCTACCGAGCTGGGTAAGAGAATTTGCCTATTGTGGTCATTTTCAGGGGTGGGTTCATACCCCGGCGTGCCCAATCAATGAAAATCGGTCATCGGAAACCAATCAATATAATTAATATAATCGATAAAAATCAATCGATTAGTATCGATTGGTTTCACCAATCGATGAAAATCGATACTCACAATGCAAATCCTCCTCAGCATCGCGCGGAGAAAGGGGAAAGTGGCCGAATCTCTTGTTATTTGTAGGAGTCGGTACTTTCAAGAAATGTTGTTCAGTCGGTCAGTGTAAAACGTGGACTGCGGACTGCAGATTGCAGACTGCGGACCAGAGGTAAAATGAAGACTGAGTGTAAAATGCAGAATGAGAAGTCTCAAGAAACGTTCCTCGGACCTTGGATCGGTATCTGACTCTCTTATGATTTCTACGCGGTCGAGGATCGGCCGAGGGAAAGTAACACGGCATCTCGACGAAAGGGACGGTGAGAAGGAAAGAGAGGCAAAATGGCTCCCTTTCTTCTTCCTTCCCACTCCCCCCTCCCCTGCGCTTCCCTCGTTAATGTAATAGAGACGGAAGAGTAGGAGTAGTCCCCATTTTTCCTAAGGGATATTAGAGCGAGCAAATCGCGCGTGAAAATCATCCCACTCGAGACAGGCGAGACGCGGCGGTGAGAGAGAAAAATCGCCTTTCTCACATGGGTTGATTTTCATGCGCGCTCGCGTTTCGCTCGCTCTACTATCCCTGAGGAAAAATGGGCACTACTCGTAGTCTACGGAAGAGATGGCTTTGAGCGAGTTAGAGATAGCTGCAAGATTATGCTGAGCGTTGAACTTTGACATCTTTATATACGTACAATAATAAACGGAAAATGTTGGGAAAGCGACAAATAAGTAGCACTCCCACGGAAGTGCAATCAATGGCTAAAAGGCGGGACTTTTGTTTATCTTTAGGTGTTATCATTGCAAATTTTGTCTCCAAAGAGTGGATGTCGGTGCTTCGTTCATTGTCGATGTATCTTTCCCACGCGCGATGGATGAACCCACTGACACCGCAAGTGGATCTCCTGAACTGCAAGCCTTCTCAGTTACGACTTGCGCAGCAGGTTGGGCTGACTGTGCCGAAGACCACTATCACAAATAACCCTCCTGCTGTAGAGAAGCTCTTTAGCAAAGTGGAAAACGGACGAGTGGTGTTTAAGAGTTTGACAGGACTTTTTGTACCGCCAGACATTGGACTTTTCACAACTGAGATCACTAAAGAGTTTCCATCGGTGTCACAGGACGGTATCGCACATTGCCCGAGCATTTATCAAGAGCTGGTGGAACGGAGATCCGATCTACGCATCACTGTTGTCGGAAACAAAGTCTTTGCCGTTCGTATTGCCTCGCAAACACTCGATGAGCATGAAGATCGCTTGGATTGGAGAAGGAGGCAAGATAAAAAAGAGCTTTACAGCGAAGCACAGGTGCATGAAAGGCCCTTAGTAACTAGTCATTCACGTGGTACAGAACCGCCATAATAGAGAGCAAGGAACGCATTGGTAAATGACAAATAAAAGGCTTACATTAGTTTTAGAAATTTCCTTTATTTGTCTTGTCACGGTGCGTCCCTTGCTCTCCAGCGTGGCGACTTTGTACCACGTGAATGATCAGCTGCAAAGGGCCTATTACAACTTAAATTTGAGTCGTTCCTCTAGGTCTCCACAACGAGCGTTTAACAAGCTCTGCCTCGTCCCAACCTCGTTCCCAGGTACTTCTCGCTTTCCAATATGCCGCGGCCATATTGGAAAGCGAGAAGACCCTGGGGACTAGGTTGTGCCTCGTCCTAAGAGCTATTGCCGCGCGAAAAAGAACTAATCATTGTGGAGTCATGGAAAGGATTTAGATCGAGCAGCGGGTACAGTGCGCACAAACGTCCCAAAACACCACGAACCCCGCGTAACTAAGGAGAAGGGAGCCTGGGGACGACCATTATCAAGCTGGATTGTTACAGCTTAAAATCACTTATGGCGATTGTTAATTCTGATTCCCTTGAGTCAGAATTTAAAATCCTTGATTCCCTGGTAACCAGACGCGAATGAAGGGCCAAAAAAGTAGTCGTCGGGTCACCATGGAAAGTAATGATCGCGAGCAGCGAGGTAAGGGCATACTTCATAAGACAACACGCATGCCCATGCCAAAGGAGCCCTGGGACGAGCCAGTATTGAACTTTGTTACACTTTGAAAATCACTAACGGCCAATTTTAATTCTGATCCTTTCTAACAGATATCTGACGTACTTAAGCAGCGCTTGCTAAAGTTCCAAGAAAAAGCAGGGATAAATTATGGCGCTTACGACTTCTTAGAGCGCGGCGACGACATCATATTCCTGGAGTGTAACATGGGAGGAGCGTGGCTTTGGCTGGAAGAATTTGTTGGCATTAAAGTGTCCTTGCACGTCGCGCGATTTCTACTGGGATTAGAGGAACTTGAGACCTAAACAATGAATGGGGCTAAATTTTAAGTTAACTACAATCACAAAACGTGAAACAACAAGACGTGAATGAAACTAGAATAAGCGTACAGTTTAAATGAGTAGCTTAATATATATTTTCTCTCTAGCGATTTTTAAGATAATTTTGATGTTCCATTCTGTATGAAAAGCACTTTTCTCTTTCATTTCCCTTTTGTTTTCTAGTACCTTTTATTCGTAACAAAGCGGTTTACTCATGAGATCGATGATCAGATCTGACAACCATTTTTTTTATCGCCAGAAAACTTCTCAGTACCATCCTCAAGGGAATTCATGACCGATACTGTTATACACTGATTGACGTCTGTTTCTCCGCTTTGAAGGGGCAATTTCACGAGGTTATCGCTGTTTTAAGTCAGTTCTGTGCTGAAGAAACTACTTATAATTAGTGCCTTAAACCATTTACAGAATGCTCCTGTAGGGTTATGAAAAAGAAGGTACTAACTATAGTAATTTGTTTGGTGATTTTTTTGCAAGCATAGAATTAAAACTTGAAAAAATTGGCTCAGATTTTTCAAATTTCAATCAATCTCCATTTTTGCCATCCGTGGCGACAAAGACGCCAGGGAACATTTTCAGTACCTAATTATTGTCTTAATAACAAATAAGAGAGGATAAAGGGGACAGAGAAGGCATCCCCCATACACACCTTATTCCATAAGTAATTCGTCTCGAGTTATTTTTAAGACCACAGATCCCGAGGGGCATAAGACAACAGCCAATCACATAGCGCGAATGTGTTCCGCGTGGATTACCCACGCTCAGAGCCACGCGTCCTTCACGAATTGACGACGAACAACATGGCGGAAGACGCGGAGAGCGATATTGCTATTCGTTTTGTCGACGAAAACGACTACAGAGAGATTTCTGCTAAAGCTGTGTCAGCGAAACGGAAATAAAAAAGAATCGCCCTTTCCTGGCTTGTTTCTAAACATTGTTAAGACGTTGATTCGAGCGAAGCTGAGAGTTCTAGTGAAGAAGATGAAAAAGTCAGTGCAAGCGAGGAGGAAGCTGTAACCGAAACGGAGAGTGCCAATGAAATACAAGAAAACGTAGAAAGCTCCTATTCCGATGATAGTTCAGCAGATGAAGCGAAGAGGAGGAAAAGTGCAGGGAAGCCTAAACCTGCGCCTTCGAGTTCGACTGTCACCAAATGAAGCAAAAAGGCGCCGAAGAAATCAAATAAACGGAACAAGGGTCTTTCGGAAGAAGAGATGGAGCGATTCCCTTTTCTCAGGTGAGCGCCGACTAATGTCGCTTCAATATTTAGGAATGCTTTCGATCTCTTTACGCTTTCATTGCCTTTCGCCCGACATGTTTTGCACCGACGTTTAGTCATGCGAAACCTCCACGAAACACCCACGCAGCGCGCGAGGTAACTTTATCCCGATTCTAAAAATAACTCAAGACGAATTACCTATGGAATAGGGTGTGTATGGGGAATGCCTTCTCTGTCCCCTTTATCCTCTCTTGGTAGTAATCATTGATAATCAGCTTTCTCCGCATTTCGCAAGATAAAGGAATTATCATTGCATGTGCAGTCCTCAAGAGATAAATACGGTGATAAAGCTACACGGGGAACGAAAAAATACTTTTTTACGGTAACTGGATTTTTTTTACCATGAAAATTAATTTCGCGCTTGCAGCGAGCTGACCTTTCCACATCACCGCTGACCATCAATTCCGAGAGACTGAAAATATTGGAGTTTAGCAAGCCATTCATGCAGTTCACAATGAGTTTAATCACCAAGAAACTGCACACTAATGATGATGACCTGACTACCTTTATGCTACCCTACTCCACTGAGGTCTGGCTGCTCACGCTCATGTGTCTTCTGTTGGTGGCAGTGTTAATGTACTTGGTAAATTTCTTCAGCCCATATGGTCATCGATCGCGTCATAGGCACAGGCATCACGCAGAGACTGGTGAAGAATTCGACTTCTACAACAGTTTATGGTTTTACCTCGCTTGCATGTTACAGCAAGGAGCGGATCAGACGCCAAAATCATTTTCAGGTGACTTTTAACATTCGGTACACCGGCTGAAATACTCCCTATATTGCCCATGACCTGCTGCAGAGGCAGTGCTAAGATAGTTCAGTGCTCTCTTTGCTGTAAAGAAACCCACAGAACCTTGTATTGGGCCTTTCCTAGGGTAGAGAAGAGACTAGGTTAACATTAGTTCAAAAAATTTCCTTAAACTTTCCTCAAAATGTCAGTTGTAGTGCTGTCAAAAGATTGCAAGGATACACCAATAAAATCGACCACTCGGGTCGTTAACAGAACAAAATGATAGTTGAGCAGAAGAAAAAAATCATCCACCCCCGGTGGGACTCGAACCCACAACCTTTGAATTAGAAGTCCAACACGCTAATCCATTGCGCCACGGGGGCTACACATATGACCGTGGAAATATTTTATCTTTATCATATAGTTTACATTTTCTTTGATAAGAATTTAGTTTATCCTTCTTTACGTTAGCCATTGGTTGTTTTGTGTACTGACCAAATGGTTGTACCTGTTATATGAGAAATACCATTTGATCAATTAAAAATAAATAAGGAAAAGAAAGCCATTTTCTTTTGTTCCTGTTCACTGAATTAACTCTTTGTTTGCAAGTCGATATGAAGACTGATATCTTGAATTGTTTAGACCCAAATACGATATCGCAACCACGAGATGCATGAGAAAATCGGCCGAATTTTCACCTAACCAGCAACCTCAAGAGAGGATAAAGGGGACGGAGAGGGGCATCCTCCATACACACCCTATTCCATAGGTAATTCGTCTCGAGTTATTTTTAGAATCGGGATAAAGTTACCTCGCGCGCTGCGTGGGTGTTTCGTGGAGGTTTCGCATGACTAAACGCCGTGCAAAACATGTCTGGCGAAAGGCAATGAAAGCGTAAAGAGATCGAGAGCATTCCTGAATATTGACGCGAAATGAGTCGGCGCTCTCCTGTGAAAAGGGAATCGCTAGGCTCTTTGACAACCCGTGAAATCAGTTTAACTCGAAGTTTTCGTAACCTCGGTGCTTTAATAAAATGAGAAATTTCGCCGGTCTATTGAAACCGGTCGTTTGTACAATAAAGCAAGTAGGACGCCAAGTGTTATTTTTGTTAAATAATAAAAGACTAATAAAAAAATAAATATCAAACCAGAAATTGCTCTCTTCAAACTTTAAATTATAAATGATGCTGAGAGAATATTCAGTGTGTTAAGGATTTCCCTGCTGTACTGTTAGCTCTATACAAGAGAGGAAGGGCGATTCTGTTTTAATTTCCGTTTCACTGACACAGCTTTGGCAGAAATCTCTCTGTAGTCGTCTTCGTCCGCAAAACGAATAGCAATATCGCTCTCCGCGTCTTCCGCCATTTTGTTCTGCGTCAATTCGTGAAGGACGCGTAGCTCTGAGCGTGGGTCATCCACACGGAACACATTTGCGCTATGTGATTGGCTGTTTTCTGGATCTGTGGTCTTAAAAATAACTCGAGACGAATTACCTATGGAATAGGGTGTGTATGGGGGATGCCTTCTCTGTCTAGCTTTTATCCTCTCTTGTAACAAACTGTAGGCATTATTTTAGTATTTTTGTAAATAGCATGACATTGCCCCTTTATGAGATCTCACTAACTCAGTTATATCTATCAACCTTAAATTTCAAAAAACGTAATCAGAGATGTCTGTATTTCTCTTCATTTTGCCAGATGTCTACCGACCACACCGAAAAATTTAGCCACCAAATGGTAGAGAAGCAAAGGCCCTACTCAAACAAAATAAGACTGATCAAAGAACGTTTTGCCATCAATATTGCCGCCATTACTTATTCCATGAAAATACGATGACGGGTTTTGTTGTCGCTTTTTCGTTTTTACAATCATCGGTAGCCTAGAATCAAGCCTGAACCTATACAAGAATTAACTTTTTAAGACTCCCATTGTAAAGGAAATTACGAAATGCTCCGCTTAGAACTTCATAAACACTCCCTTTCCCCGGGACTCACTTGCCAGTAGAGAAAGCTTAGATGGAGTGATGGGGTGGACGGTACGGGACGCGACGGGACGTTGTGAAGGTGATCGATCAATTCAACGCGTAGACCCCTAAAAATGACTGTGAGTAAAGATAATTGTTGCTTTACTTCAGAAAATTAAAATGATCAAAGCGCACTTACCTTCCCATGTGTTATAACTGAATTTCTTTATCGACTTTTTTTCAGTTATAAACTCAATATAGACTGTGTAATTTGTGCTTCACCTTGATTATCGCTACTTTACAATTTATGGTTCCAAAATATAACTGTGACCACATAATTTGATAAGGTCTTATCGTGAGTATGATTGCAAGAAAATTGGACTGAGTTTGCTGATGTTATAGAGTAGGTGAATTTTGGTTTGGACTGTGCTACCGTCGGAAAAATTATTGAAGTTGCTCAGTTTTATTTGTTAATAAATTTGTTCTCATGAAGAGCCCTCTTGTTTTCATGAATAAGTGAACTTAATGGCTCAGTCAATTCCAAGCGTGCCCATCCCCCCTGGCATTTGTTGGGCAGTTGTCATTTTTATTTTTTGGTGGAAAAGCTGGAAATGCGCCACGGTGAGGCCGGGCGGCTCATCCAAAAACGTCACAGTGGGGACAAACCCAGGACAACCTTAAAATTGCATTTTCCAGTACCATTTTCATAGGAAATGTGTAATAATCTGATCAAAACCTAGCCGCCAGTTATAATTATTGCATAAACAGTCACATCTACCTGATAAATATAAATGACAGAACCATAAACTAGAACTTTAATGATACCTAGCTTTCTTCCAAATTCTAATGGCTGATTTAATATACTGCCAGTTACGCAAACGGATCCAAATTCAGGATAAGGAAGATCAGTGAGAAATAGCCGCTTAATGATGAAGTGTTTGTTGCTTTATCCCGGCAAAAACTGAAAGTTGGCTGAACGTTTATTTTTTTTAATCAGGTGTTATTGCAAAAGTCTTCTCCTTAAATGAGTGGAGATCGGTGATTCGCCAGCTAGCATGTTATCTTTTCCACGCGCGGTGGATGAATCCATTGTCCATTGTTGACCTGTTGAGCTCCAAGCCTTATCACCTGCGTCTCGCGCAGTAGGTTGGGCTGACTGTGCCGAAAACCACTATCACAAACAACCCTGCTGCCATGGAGTAACTATTCGAGGAAGTTGATAACAGTAGAGTGATCGTCCAAAGTCTGACGGGGCACTTGTTGACCCAAGACGTCGCACTCTACACCGTACCAGTGACATCATCAAAGGGTTTCCATCCCAGTGTCCCAGGGTAGCCTGCAGTGCTTTGGGCGTGTAAATGTTTTTGCTCGCGAAAGCGCCTGGTTACTATTTCTACTGTCATAAAATCAAAGATGGCGGCAATAACAATACGAACATGAACAAGCTTTCGCCCACCCAAAATACGCCTGGACTGCAGGCTAGTCCCAGGGCAACATTACATAATGTCCGGGCATCTGTCAGGAGCTGATTGAAAGGAGATCTTACGATATCGATCTGCGCATCACTGCACTGTGGTTGGAAGAGAGGTATCTCCTGTTCGTATTGCCTCGCAGACGCTTGATGAAGAAAGGGATTGCTTGGACTGGAGAAGGTGTCAGCACCAGCTAGCGAGAACTTTATAGTAAAGCCCAGCCGTGTAGCGTTATTGATGGTTATTATTTTACGACTATTTTCTACTCAAATAAACCTCACCAGGGGGTGTGTGTGGGGGGGTGTACTCGGGTATTGGTGAGCCGCTAACGGTTTGAAACCCTAGGAGAAAAATCCTAGAATACATATCCTGTTTAATACAACACCCTCACCTGCTTCTTCTCAAGTGACTTCTTAGAGTGTGGCGATGACACCATAAACTGGTGAAGCCTGGCTCTGGTTAGAAGAATTTCTTGGTCTTGACGTGTTCAGGCAAGTCGCGCGATTTCTTCTTGAGACGAATTATGATAACATTTCTTAGGTATAATTTAATTTTTTGGTAAAATGTCTTGACGGGCTGACATGTCTAGCATAAAAGCTTAAAAATGCTGGTGAAACTCTAATTCATAACATGGTTTTACAAAATTTTTGCATCGGTTTCCGCTTTTTTCCCACGGCTTCGCAGAGGTTTTCGCTTCTCATTCCGCGGCTACACATTTTCCCCTGCTTTATTATTAGCGGCCGATCTTTAATCAGTCATCCTAAAACGCGGACGAGGGTTGAGACTCTCCCTAGCTGAATTCAATGTAATTGCAATCACCATCATGCACTCTTCAGTGAGCTCATGTCGACTTCCTACCCAGGAAGGTACAGCGAAATTATCTCCTATAATACATCTACATAAAACATAGCTTTTTATTGACCATCAATTCATTATATCCTCTTAAATACTGACACATTACTGAATCAAAATATTCAATATATTTAATATAGCGCCTAACAACCTACATAAGCAAACTGTATGATACACAGACAGCCACATATAATGTACCATAAGCCGTTTCTTAACAGTAACGCTAAGCAGATGGCAAGCTGACTATTGACCCACTATTAAATCTTTCCCCGCTCCTATTATCATAATTTAACTAGACTAAGTCACGCGTACGATATATTAGACTTGTGAACAATATTGAAGTGAACAAAAAATGAGTACCAGTATTTAGTTCAGAAAGTTTATCTACAACTTTGTGAACACCTGCCTACATGTAAATAAATGAAGTATCAAGCCTATCCTTAAAGCCTAAAGGTTGGTTTTCGCTAACGACAGAGTCGTAAGCTGAGCCATAGGGTTGATGGATTGATAATGGTTCATTTTTCTTCCGACTCTGCTTTTAACTCTGTCGCCTTACGTTTGGTGAAAACTAGTGTGTCGGCAGTCAGAAGCTGTCGGAAGTCGTCAGAAGTCGGAAGGCGAAGAATAAACCAATCACAATGCTCGTTCCCACTGCCGTTCTCATGCGTTGTGATTGGTGGTTTAGTTCTTCCGCCTCTGGTTGCGACTCATACAGACCTGGTTTTCACTTGATCGTAAGCGACGGAGTCGTATACGGAATCGGACTCTTGCTCCCTTGCTAATGAAAACTAGGCGCTTTAAAAATAGCGGAGCTTACGAAACAACGACGGCGATGGCATGAACGTAAAGAAGAAAAACCTGAATGAGCAAAATAAAATCTTAGCACGTGCATCACTCTTTTTGGTTCATTTATTTCTGGCGGTGGCCATGCAAGACTACGACGTGAATTTTTCTAATCCGACATTTTACGTGAGAGGTGTTGAAATATCACTGATTTTTTTTTATCAAGATACTTGGAGAACTAAAATGGTCACGAGGACTTCAACGTGAGCAAACCATTCTAAGGGTAATGAATGGACCTTGCTTAGCAGGTACGGTTTCATTAAAATTTGCACCGCCTACTAAAACGGAGAGGTTATTGGCTAAGCCCAGTTCACTGAGCGTCGGTAATGAGATTCATGCTCTTCATGGTAAACATCACGAAGTGTGCCCTCGCCCTAATCCTCACTTAAACGTAAGCAATAAGCCATTTGCACTAAGATGTCCTGTGACATCGTTTTTATGAAAATGAAAGTTATGTGATTTTGCCTTCAAAAAACGATTAGTGGGTAATATCTTAAACAAAATAATAGTGATTTGGTTTTTCAAACCCGCACCATTTTCTTAAAATGAGTAAGTTCGTAGCTGGTCACGTGACCAAAATGTGATTTTTTTAAAATTATGAATTACCTCTTACTGAACACAAATATTGCATTTAAATTTCGAGGAAAATGTTGAAAAGATGATGTGGTAACGTTTACAGCACATCTGAGCGTAACTGTCAAACGTTTAAAAGATATATGCAAAAAGTAGTTTTGGCCGCCATGTTGGAGGGCAAGAGTATGCCGTCCAACATGGCGGCCAATACAAATCATACTACTTTTTTGAAAATCAAAGTGCCATAAAATATCTCCCTTAAATGCGTTTCCTCTCAAACTTCGGGCGTAAGATAATTTTCACGTGCTCTGTCAATGTTTGGCATCAGCAAGATTCCAACTCATTGTTTAAAGAAAGCATTGATCACGTGACCTCTTAGTGTCTACATGAAGTCATATGGAAATAATTGTGTCCAGTATGAAGTACCTAAGTTCCGAGTTTTCTTGCATTTTCGGACAAAAGTGTTCTGTAAAGGCTATTTAAAGTCGCGTAAGTCGCCTACTATGGTTGAGTTTATGTACTTTATGTTTACGTTTATTGCAGATCATGCTTTTCCTTTCAGATTCCAACTACAAGCAGTCAGTTGCAGTAACTGCCACGATGTTATACACTATAACGCTTTGGGATACGCGCTAAGGCCGTGAAACATGACGAAAAATTACAATGCAACGTCTTACACTAAGCACAAAATGTTGTTAAACGGTTTGCTCGTTTACCAAGGCATTTTAAACCACGGAGAGAGTTGCTACATCACTAAAAGCAGATGCACTCAGCTTTTTTTCACACTAACTACAGACGTAACAAGCCCATAGTTAAACCTAAAAAAGGCTGGAATGCATGAAATGCATGGAATGATCGAAAACTACATGCGGTCGTAACGTTCTTGTGTTGTGGACATCTCCGAACATGTTATCTTCGATATAACAAAGGAGAATCCATCCTGAAAGAGAAATTGTTCAAACCTTAATTTAAAAAATAACAGCATTATTATTTTATAACACAGTCATTCCACGTTCTCTTCATGGAACTTTCGGTCCGTAATTAATACTGTACGGAAAGTCAAAGTTTCTTTCTTTCCCTCAATTCCGTCGTAACCGGTGCGCCTATCTCGACAAACCATTAAAATATAAATGTAGCGTATGTGTAGTTTTCAAAACCATTCTGATGCACTTTTAATTTAGGTGCTTACTAAAAAAGAACATGTTTATAGGGTTGTAAAATCCTTCGGAGGGTCCTTTCTTTTGTCCGTGATGATTAAAAAAAATTTCTTTCATTAGCCTGCAAATTTCTGCGTGGAACAAGTTATGAAAACGATGGTAACTTCTCGGACACTAAAACACTTACCGAAATCAGTCCTGGAAGATTTGACCAGAACTTGGCATTTGGTATCATGTCTTTACCAGTCTTTCCAGACCCTTTATTGATCAGTGCTCCAACCACGCAATACAAAAATATTCCAGGAAAAAATCTGCACAAGGAAAAACTTGTCACACTTAGGCCTTGGCCAAACGTCGAACTTTTCATGAGACGAACCAATCTTGTCTGGCTCATATAAGTTCGTCTGAATGAAATTTGGATCGTTCAACACGTTCTGTTCTATTCGCCTGCTTCAGACGGGTAGACATGACGTTTTTAGATCGTGAAAGTGATAGCTTTGATGAAGAATTAACAACAACAACCCTGCTTGTGCAGTGCACTCGCGTATTTTCTTTGCTTTACTAAGGCCCAAGCTACCCTGCGCGAGCCAACGTTTCCTACATTTCCTTTCACAACTTGGCTTATCGTTTTGCCTGAGAAACAAAAAAAATGCCTCGACTAGAAAGTTGACCGGCCTTCTAGCGGGGCCAATTTTTCTTCTTTTTCTCCGCCCACCTGAGTCAGATCGGTCAAGGAAAGTCAATCAGAGCATATGCGAGCGTTGTTTTCAGCTCTTCGCACGTATCGGGCAAAGGGGTTGAGTTTTCTCTAAAACAAATAAATGTTCGCTACAGTTGACTCAGCTCTGCCGGGACAGGCCTAACCCTGAGGAAAACGAGGGTCTGATAGTAGTCTAAATTATCTTGCTAAAAGGAAATTAAAAGCAGTACAGTACTTACACAATAAGTAGAATTGAGCCAACACTCAGAACATCCTTAGGTCCCTCGTCACCTCCACCTCCACCACCGCCATGTCCGCATGCACCAGAATAGTTGAACACAAAATTGTACTGAATCTGAGAAGAGAGAGAGTGAACATCAAACCCTTAGAGTATGGCTTACATTGTATCCATGAGAACAGCTTCTCTGATCCCTGCTCCTATGTGTTTTTTTTTGCTTTCATTCGTTTGTCTTTTAGAGAGTGGGATAGCCTGTGTACAAACGCCCCCTCTTGTCTGTACACAGGCTAAGAGTGAGAGGAATAAAGGCGAAATGAAACTAATACAGGAGCACACATGGGAGCCTGAAAAAAAAAAAAAAAAAAAAAGACAGACGAAAAAGAAACAGCCTGAATCGCCTCGTGGGCAGCTGGTGTTTGGGTTTGCAGCTAAGATTTACATGGAGTCTAGGACAGGGGAGGATGGAAAGAATAAGGTTCAGATTACTCAGCCACTTTAAATGCATCTTTAAAAGTTGCTCCTGGACACCCACAATCCTCACAATTACATAGAAAATGCAAGAATATTCTATGTTCATTTAGGACTTCAAATAAAGTGATTTCAAAGAATTTTTCATGATTCTTCTTAAGCAACTTAGACTACAGTCATTACCTGTATTAAGCGGACACCCTCTATTATGCGGACAGGAGCTGAAGTCCAAGGCTGTGCTCTAGCAGAGCCCGGTGGCCCTTAGCGCCTTACTTTTGTTCTCGGCGACTAGAAAATTTTAGCTTTTTCATACAAATCATATGCTGGGCACACTGGATTTCACAAGTTCAGAGCACTGGGCTCCCTTCAATTTTTCTTGGAGCACAGCCTTGGAAGTCCCCAAATTTATTTCCCTTATTTACTTTAAATGAAACCTTTATTAAGTGGACACCTCTATTAAGCAGACAGAGACACCTGAAAAGTACCTGAAATGGTCATTTCTATTGAACATTGCAAACCTGTATTAAACGGACCCTTGTAATTAAATTCCACCACACAACATGCCAGACACCGGAAATGCAAAAGATTGCCACCCAAAAGTTTTTTGATTTTTACATTAAAAACGTGACTTAACAAACTCATTTGATTAGTTTCACAGTACAGTATTGTTTTCTATTTCGTTTTGTTGGTAAAGAGCTTATTTCACTCATCTGAGTTCTTCAAAGCTGAGTTGCAATCAATGTTTCACAGTACTATGATCAATTGGTCCTCTTTAATAAAGAAATTTATTCATGCAAACGTATAATTATAATTGTTATAGTCTGTGAGAGTATTCTAAATGTTTCCACTGTTCATTTGAATGGCTTTTGACACCTCATATGACGTTATCTATCAAAACCTGTATTACGCGGACACCCAGTATTAAGCGGACACTACAGTATTTCTCTGCTATGTCACTGCGTTCCGCTGCAGAGAAAACGTTTAAGTTCTAATCAGCAGAAAGGCAACAACACGTTGAAATAGGAAGGACACGACCAGTTGTGTTTATTGGGGAACGAGAAAAAGCTAACGTACAAGAAATAAAGTAGTGGCGGAGAAAAACGAATTACATCACTGTAAACTACGAGACTAAACGTAAACAGCATACTAGAAAAATTAAGCTCGGCAAGGTGCGAGCGGTAAAACTGGCTGTGTCGAGTGACTAACGTGAGAGGCGACAAGGCTTAAATACAGAGAGGTGACCTAAAATCCCTAGAGGATCAAACTGCGGCCATAAATGCAAATTCCGAACATAAACACATTTCTTGAGGGTGTCCACTCAATACACGTTTCACTGTAATTCAAAATTTGTATTGAAACTACAATACTGGGGTACTTCACTATTGTTTTACTCGATGACTCGAAGTACAACAAGACTGTGAAGTGAAACACACTTTTTAGCACCTTAAGACAATTGGAGCAGTTGATTAACTTTGATTCAAGGTGGTCAGGTATTCTAAAGTTGCTTTGATGGAAAATTTGAATCATCACACAAGATCCAATCACTTTTTGAGACTGGTCAATCAAGTCACAAACATCCCTGGATTTTCTTAGAACTCAGAGTGATTCTGGAGATTACTCAGTATCACACCTTGGAACGGAATGGAAAAGGGATTTTGGGTAGGTGAGAAGCATGAAGGGCATTCAAGGAAGGAGGGATGCTTCCCCTTGTCCCTTATGAATAGTTTTGCTTCACTTTTGGCAGGCTAGACCTTGGCCACCTGAATGCATGTTTAAAATTCAAAGTGGGGACTACAAAATAGAGCGAGCATGGATAAAGGCACGCTTGATATTCCAACGACATGCACCTTACCCACATGTACCACATTCTGTGCCAGCCTTCCTTTTTTGCTTTTGCATTTTTTTAAATATATGCCTTGAACTATGAAAAGTCACATTTTTTTGTAAACATTACTTTTGCAGCACCACTGATGCTATGGTGGAGGTTTAGCTTAGCCACCCCAAATGATCCCACAATTATTATTGTGGTATCATTTAAGCCACGCCAGAGTGCTCTAACTAGTAAACTAATCACAAATGAAGACAGAACACAGTTCCTTTTCAATCCACCTATATTTCAATCACATAGATAACGTTATAAATTCTAAAGACTATTATGCACTGTTTAATAATAATATGCCCAGTTCTTAATACCTTAATTCCATCAAGATGATAAGTTGCATTGACTAGGTATTGATTAACTTTGCCATCCTCTAAATGATCTTTCCACTCTGCAGACTCATCACACTTGAACGTGAATAGAGTTGTAGCAGACTCCGAGCTAGAGAATGTCAGGGTGAAATCATTTCCTCCTTGACAGCAGTGAAAAAAAGAAGAAAAAGAAAAAATGAAAAATGAATAAGGGAATGGAGACCATTTCCTGAAGGTGATGATAATTAAATTATGCAAGCAAGAGTAATTTAATGGTTAAATCCTAAAAGATAATCCATTTATAATTTATCATTTATAAATGTTCTTTTGCATTTTAATCTCATTCAAAGCTTATTTTCTAACCTCAAGTCCTTACCACAAACTAATGTTATCAACATTAATTTTGAAAAGAAACAAATGCAATACATGTATCAACCACCTTTGTTAAAAATTTGTCTTCATAAATAGATTTTGAAAAACATCAATCTATTCTAAAAATATTGTGCAGCACTACTACACATCACTGATTGTACAGCCTTCAAAATTAATGATCAGAGGGTTTTCTACATGTGTATATGCCATAATCTATATAATGGTCATACAATTGCTGCGACTGGTCACCTCACCTGTGGAGGTTAATGCCGGCAACAATTTCCCTTTTTCAGACATACACAATGGTACGATTCATAATACAATCAACTCCCATTTACAGAGGAAATTGTAGGGACTGTGAGTTAGTGTCCTCTTTAGCGAGAGTTCATAATAGTCGGAGTTTCTTTCACAAACGTCCGTAATTTGTTTTTGCCAGGGATTTAGCATCTGTGCATTTTATCAGGGTTTGCATAATAACGGGGTGTCATATATGTACATATATATGAATCTCTAGCTTTTCCTGCAATTTTGGCAATATTTTCGGGCCACCCTTCTTCACCTGGACTGAAGCATGTATTTCGAATGCCAGTGACAAACCAACATTTTTTACTGTTACCCCTCCCCTTAAGCTGACCCTAATAATATTATAAGCTTACAGGAAGTTCAACTGCATCTCGACCTACTGTGAATGCTGACTAAATAAGACTAGAGTCCTACCTGAATCGAAAACTTCACTGGCAGTTCCAATGTCAATAAATCGTGTATACAAAGTTATATTTGGATATTTGAGTGGAGAAACTTTCTTCGCCAGACAAATCCCAGAACCTGCAGGACAGTAACTTGGAACTTTTTCACATATTGAAAAGTAGAATATACATGAGGTGTTTGTGCCTTCCATTTCGAGTTCAGGGCACCTTGGTACTTCCTTGTCTTGTATTTCAAACTCCCAGTAATGACGCCTAGATGTTAATGACAAAAAATGCAAAAATATCATGCACAAGTCCATTATAAGGAAACATGCCAAGGACAGAAGATGAAAAGAAAAGAGATGACTACAATCTCTTTTGTAATCAACGTGTTCAAATTCACCGCAGCCCCAGTAATGGAAAATGTGATTTATTCATAAACAAGGAGGCATGGTCAACACACTGTTTTGCAAGCTTGAGCAATTCTACTTATTGACATGTCAACTTACTGTTACACTTGCTCGCAAGTTAGTTTGGCTGGCATATAGTAGTAGCAGTATAAGGGAATGCAGCCCTTCCTTTTCATTTCATCTTTTCCTCACTTATAAGTAACAAGTCATGCATTCATGTGAAACAATCCGGCTGACTACTACAGTGTTCTCACCAGGCCGTGGCCTTGTGGGATTCCCGCAGGAAAAACTGAAATTGCGCATTAAAACCAAGAAGATGCGCCCGTTAGGGCGCAGGGGCAAGCTACGAGTCAAACGGACTTAAGTAGTTTTAATGGTCAACCTAACACTAAAGCATTCTGTTTGTTTGAATAAATAAAAATCATGGTATCAAATGAGTCAAAGTCTTTAATTTTGTTGCCTTTACTTTCATTGGTCCCACGCACGTCCCACTACATCGTAAACTTCTCCTCCGAATCGTAAACACCTCTTCCGTCATATTGGATCAGGTAGGTACTTCATGTAACAGACAATTTGGAGTGCGGATTCAGGTTCTTCGTACCACGTGTTTTTTGTAACTTTGTCCCCCTAATGTTCTTACAGGGCCCCTATTTCTCAGAAGAGGGGGCCCTGGGACTCTCCAAGGCAAAATCCTGGTGATAACACTGCTAGTAGCAGTCTAATTACACAGTCATGTAGATACGAATTGGAAAACCAGTTGCTTTGTTTATAATGAATGTCTCAGTGCAAGAAATGTCATTCAATACAGGCTCCAGTTTTCAAATGGTGGATAGCGCTATCGACTGGATAAATCACTATCCAGTGGATAACGCATTTGGTCTTTGTATTACTTATCCACTCGACAGTGATTTATCCAATGAAGCGCTGTCCATTTTTTTGAACAACCGGGGCCAGGTGTTCATCTGCTTTTAAGCCTGACCCCTGCCCAACTTGACAAATTACCGTCTCTCGTGTTTCCCCCACAAAATTGTTGAGCTAGATCTTCTGAAATTGGGCTAAAATGCAGATGAAAGACAAAGAATGCAACATTGAAAGAAGGTAAAGTAACTTTCTTTATAAATTATCCTTCCTTCTTTCTTTTTTTTTTTGAATTAAATCTCTTTCGCTCTCATACAAACCTTCATAGTCTTCCAACTGACCGTTGCAACAATGAGCAGCTCAAATATATATGTGTGCGATCTGTTTTAAGACCTTGTAACACAACACGTCACATATATGTTGTTTTGTTTATGCCTTTTTCATGGTTGTATCCTAGACTCTGATTAGTATTGGACTGAAAATTAGTTAACAAGGTTCTCAATCGCTGTATTTCTTCATACAGTTCGATCTGCCGCTCTACCCCTCCTGTACACAAATCAAAACATCAGACAGAAATCTAAAGATCGATGACAAACTTACTTTTTTAGAGCCTTAATATCGTGGTTAACTGGAGCACATTCTTCTCCTAAAACTCCTGGAAGCATAAGATGAGCTGTAAAGAGAAGTGTAACAATAGAACAAACCCACTTTTCCGCCATTTTGCTTGATCTTCACGTTGATTCACGTGATATTGGCGGCATTTTGGTTACCAGGCTGCTAGTTAGGGTACGCTGCAATGTAGAGCGTCACGTAAACGATTACTAGATAAGCTAGTGTTCCGGTTTTCTGATAAGCGTTCGTGCCCTCTTATCAGGGGACAAAAATCTTGATTCGCGTGCATGAAGAGTATGTGTCTCTCTGTGAGTCCAGCACCTATCACGCAATCCTAAAGATTTGCGTGACCTACATTTGAGAAAAAACTGGGATCTAATGAGGTAAAGTAAAGATGGCGACCTCCTCGGTGTCTCGCTATTTTCGGATAATGGGCTCTATTCCTCTCCGAAAAATGGTGTCAATGAACCAGACAAGTTATATACATGTTGATCATATGACATGCATACGAAGAAAAGCTCAGCATTTGTCAACAACGAAGCAATCTTTACGCAAGACTGAGAAAACGAACGACATTTGCTCTCAAATTGCACCACGTGCTGAAAAGCATTTCGAAGGATGTAAAGTGAAACGAGTTACAGTGCAAAGTTTATTAGAAAACATAGGTTTCAAAGTGGAAAAAAAGAACGCCAGGACTGACGTGACAAAATTGTCAGTTGAGAAAGTAAAGAAAATTTTAAGCTTCCTAGACGAAATTGGGATTGAGCATCAAGATAAAGAGAAAATAATTTCTCGAAGACCAGGTATTTTGACAGCAAAGGAGAATTTGCTGAGGATGCGAGTAGAAGCCATGAAAAAGGCTGGAATCTATCCCGAATCTGTGGCTTATGTTGTTAGGGAGTCGCCTGGCGTGTTGACAGGAAGGACAGAAATATCATTGCCAAATAAGGTAATGGCTCAGTCCCGGTTGGGCGGGGGGGCATGGCGGGGGTACTTCCTTATAAGAGACTAAAAGGGATATGCCGCTGGATGGGGTTACATTTTCATTACTGGATTGACCATAATGGAGTCACATTTTCAATAGAGTTACTACAATGGGGTCACACATTTTCAGATTTTTGGGGCAAGTCAGTTCTTCATATTTACGGTTAGCAAACGTACCAGAATGGGCTGTTGCATTAAATATCTGTCCCCCCTCCCATTTGAGGACTTACCTTTTCTTCTTACCACTGAAGATTGGCTAAAATTGCATTCACCCCCGAAGACTTCCATAAAAAATGTGGGCTTACCCCTGAAGAATATGGGTTTATGCCTGAAGAGTTCCATGAAAATTAAAGCTTCACACCCAAAGAATTCCATATTCTTTTACTCTACCCCTAAGGAAATCCTCAATTTCTGTAACTTAACCCTGGAGAATTCCATGTTTCCTCAACCGGAAGGGTGCGGATATTAAAATGTAATAGCCCAATGTTTGTAAAGCTGCAAATGCTCCATGGTGGGGCTTAAAAATAGGTTACAAATGTCCCACCCTGGGATAAACAAATTGCATTTTCCAGCTTGGCAATTTGTCTTATATCTTATGTTCACTATGTGTACTATGCTACTTAGAATATAAAAAGAACTTAAGTAACAACATCAAACTACAATATCATAACTTAGAAATTGCATGCAATAAATTATCTTCCATAAAGTAAATATGTCCATACATCCTCTTGGAAGAGACCCCCTGTGGTTCTATTCTGGTAAGCGACCACCAGCTCCCATAAGTGGCCACTAAGTCTTTGCATTTTAGGTGGTGGCTTATGAGGTTTGACTGTATTTATAACCTGTTCCACAGTCAGACTGAGGCATTACATTTTGAGAGGCATACGAATTCAAGTCAACATTTTCGATCCCACCCCTCTGATATGTTGTTGAATTTCCCACCCATACATCAAGCACAGTTATAAAAATGTACCTCAGTGTATACAGTATACAGGTAGTTTTTATTACATTATAAACTTTTATTGATGCTTTCATTACTCTTTTCCTAGGTAAAATTTTTTGAGAGCGTGAAAGTCAAACCAAAGTTTACCACTGATGAAATACTTCATGTACTGACCAAGTGCCCTCACCTCATCGCCAGTTACACCGTTAAGTCTCTGGAAGAAAAAATCCAGCTGTTTGAGAAAGAACTGAAATTTAACAAGCATCATATAAAGAATTTAATCCTTAAACAGCCTTCTGTTTTGACATTTAGTGAAGAAGCAATCCTTAAAAAATACAATTACTGCTTTGAGAACATGAATTTGAGCCCATCCAGCATTGCGCGCTGCCCTCGGGTGTTTCAATGTTCTCTGAAGCAAATAAGAGAAAGGCACCAGTTTTTGAAACATGTGGGTCGCATTACAGATGAGATGAGGATCGATGATTATGGACTAGGTCTTATCGTCACAACCTCAGATAAACAGTTTGTGGAAAAGGTTGCAAAGACATCGATGGAGGATTTTAAATCCTTTATAAACAATATTGACTCGATCATCAGCTGTGCCAATGAAATTGAGTTAAATGGTAAACAATATAAAGAAGGGAAGACTGAGGGAAATGAACCTATATAACCAACTGCGGAAACATAGCAAATTTACATGTAATACTGCTTTAAACAAATTGATGTTTAGATTAACATCACTTGTGTATTAGAGAAACCAAATGAACTCATCATTTAGTGATCCCGTTTTGATTAGCCTGCAAACAAGCTCCAGCTGAAGCTCTCCATTTGGGGTAGTCGCGAGAAGTCACGTGAGAGCCACACGCAAAAGGAAACTCGAAATGGAGAGCTTGCATGCAGGCTGTTTTGATAAAGCTGGTGGTGGAAAAAGTGTGAATAGTGGAGAACAATCCTGAGAGTCAGACTGAGAGTGTGTGAAGGATGACTAGTCTTTGCCACTGAGATCAATAAATGAACAGTTTGGGACACAAAAACTTGCACACTTTCTTTTATACAGAGAGAATTCAAAGTATCTTTTGCCTCACACACAGTAGCCGGTTCACAGACCCTCAAAGCTCTCAAATCTGATTAGCTATCAACTGTCCTGATTTGTAATGGTAATAGGACTGAGTGGAGTCCAATTCAGTGTGTAATCATTCGAGTGACTAACCAAATCGGATGACCTCATAGCAGCAGTCTGATATGTTTAATCATAAGTATGATTACAGACCGAATTGGATGACACGAAGTTCTGTTTCCAGTTAATCATAACTATAACAAAATTTGTGATATTTGAGGATTTTTTAAAAATTGAAACACAAGAAATTCCGAGAGTGTTTTTTGCTAGCAGTGAAAAAAGCCATTTAAGTGCACACGTGCGATAGCGCTTACTGTCCAATTACTTATGGATAATGCGTAATGTCCTGTTACACTGTCGTATTAGTGCTACAATCAGAACAGTTGATACCAATCAGATTTGAGAATTTTGTTATAGTAAGGTATGATTAATAGGGATAGGTGAGCGCAAGTATGAAAATAAAAACTGACGGGATTTATGGATCGCTAGCACAAGGGTGTAGGGTTTGGTAAATGGAAAAACAGATGGTCTGTAGACATCTTTGGAACAACTGTAACTTGTGTTTTTTTTCCTTTTTTCTTGCGCTCGCGTAGCTTGCCCACTTGCCAAATTCCTCCAAAAAAAAGTGTGTGTTGACAGGTTTGGCACTTAGAGATAGCTATAACTAGTAAATAACTAGCAAAGATTTTACCTAAACGCGCACGCTGTGGCAATTTGTTTAGAAATGTCATGAATTACCGTAATTTACCAGAAAGAGGGGGGCGTAAGGGGGGTGCGAATACCGCAATACCGCACGTGGTAGCGCAAGAATACCGCAATACCGCATCAAAATTTAGCCAAATACCGAAACCGCAGTTACAAATGGGAAAAAGTTGACGTTGTCAATACTACAAATCCTCCTTTCAAATAGAAATAATACTTTTATGCCAGAGTTTCCAAATCAAGGTGCGTCGATGTCAAGTGTACGATAAACATAAGATCATCGCACTCGATTAGCTTTGTTTATTACATGTATACGTTTACTAAATGATACAACAGGAGTTTTCTAGTATCACTTTATATATTACTGACCTGGATCATAAACGGATGGAAAACAGTTGACTCTTATAAGGTTGTTTCAGATTCACAATTAACTCGGTTCTGTGTTGAGGGTTTCAAAACGACGACCCGGGCTGCCTTTTGGATTCGAATGGCACACAGTACACACTAGCCTGCGTAGCATGGCGGTTTTGGTTAGGCGCGCTAAATAATAAGTCGAAATAAGGCGGGCGTGGGCGAGGAGATTGGAGCGGGAGCTGCTTCGCCGCTCACAGTGGTGCTGCCGACAAAACCATGTAAAACTGTCATGCCCGGGGTGGAGGGCGGGGGGGTACTTGGGTTAATATTTGGTTGGTATGTGCCGCTGGCCTCTCAGAGCCCCTACCCCATTACAGTCTATTCTGTGGCCAATTATAGACCCCATCTTAGTCATTCGAACAAATATTTAATTTTCTCGATCCCAACTTCGTCACTTTCTATTTTTATGAATTGACCTTGTTTTAGATTGAAGGAAGAACACTTCACTTTTCATCTACAATACAAACATTCTGGTACTTTTGCTAACCGTAAATATGAAGAACTGTCTTACCCCAAAAAAGCAGAAAATGTGAGAACCCATTCTAAAAAAACTCTCTGAAAATGCGACCACATTATAGTCAATCCGGTCGTGAAAATGCGACCCCATCCAGCGGCACATCTTCATTAGCCTCTTATCAGGAAGTTCCCCTCCCCCCTCACCACCACCACCCCCGGGCTACAATGCTACGTAGGGTAAGCACACACGGATACTAGTACATTCTATATTCCTGCATGCACAACGAGAAGGACAAGTAGTAATTTTTAGACCACACCATCTTTATAGATTATCTTTCGACACTACGCAATTTATAACGATCTCACTGACCTCACTATTTGCTGGAATATCTGACTGATCACTTAGTTGACCCTCTGGATCGCTCTCTATTGTTTGGCTACTGGCACGAAAGTGGTGGTAACATTGGTATAAAGAAGGTTAACCAAGCTGACTATACCCACAAGGTCCATGAAGTCATAAATAATGCGACATGTTTACGTATCATTGGATGAAAAAGTTAATGTCGTTAATCATATCAAGTATTAACTGAAATTAGAAGCCATACGATTTGTCTGCATTGTTTGCGCAATACAATCCCCGACTGTGCACACAGGTCACGCAGGCTAGCCAGGGAGACCTTTTAGGATTTCTATCCTCTTGTCATGAAAAAGAAGCAGATCAGCGAGACACAACGATTTTTTCACCGACTACCGCGGTGTAAAATTTAAACTTACCGCAAACCGCTTGGACTCTGAAAACCGCAATACCGTACTTTGAAATAAAAATTACCGCAACACCGCACCAAAAATGACCCAATACCGCAATACCGCAAACCCTTACGCCCCCCTCCAGAAATAGTGTGAACCCAATTCGCGGATTTGCATAAGCAAAAATTGCCTTGAAAATCAGAGAACTAAACTGTTCTCCTGCATAAAGAATTTGAAATTCCAACTTTACATAGCATTTTTTTAGAGATATTGAAGTTGAAGTTCGCGTCCGAAGTTGCGCACAGGTCCTTTTGGGTAAAATTAACAGGGGCAGCCAACGAGGATATAGTTCAAAACCACTTAACATGGCATTGTTGAACGCATTTTAGTATTCAAACGGTAGATATAGGCATATTTTTATCCCCCAAAAACTTTTCATCTGTTCGGATTTCCTAGCTGAAAGTCTAGTGATCCGAAAATTATAGGGATAAAAACTTACCTTCTCGAAAATTTCAACCAGGAAAAGGCTCCCGAAAATTCTAGGTGGCCTTTTTTAGGGTCAAAATCCGTTAAAAATGGGTAATTACACCATTTTGTGGATGTTCGAAAATCCTAGGAGCGGCAGGCAAGCAAGAAATTTTACAACGAATGCTCCGAAAATTCTAGATCTCAAATGGTCTTCCGAACAGATATTTTCCCGAAAATTGCCGTTGGGTGCCCCTGAATTAAGTTGTCTTATAAGCGAACTTAGAATCCTCAAAAATCACAAGTCCACGAATATCCAACGTATAGATTTATGTTTGGTCTCTTTTGAAAGCTTTGGAAGTCTACTTTTCAGAAAAAAAAAAAAGATTTATGGTGCCCCGATAAAGTCTTCCGAATTATTTGTCTTGAACTATACGGTAATTACAGTAACGATAGAAGTAGCCTGCGTAGCAAGCGTTTCCTCGCGAGGTTCGTCTAGAAAGCTGGGGCAAGAGCAAAAGAATTTTTTTGCTTCCGCTCTACCTTTCGCGCAATAACTCGATTGGAAACGCTTGCTACGCAGGCTACGATAGAAGCTCTCCGGTTGTACCATGAAGTTCTTTTAATTAATGACATTTAGTTGTTTGAGGAAAAGTGTTTTTTATATGCTTTAGGCATGATTTTCTGGTTGTTTGTGCAATGTGATTGTTCGGATAGGTCGAACTTCTACTCGCCAGGTAGTGTAACCTGTTGCGCGAGGAAAAGAACAACACTTGTGGTGTTTTTTGAGGTCTACTAAACAAGTTGGTGACACAGGATTAATGCTTATGGATTCCGTGAAGGAAATAGAATACTTTTTTTGCTCAAGGTCAAAACGTTTCTTTATTGCAATTGTTTCTATCTGATTTAATGCTGTCTTGAACTCATTCCCATCAATCAATTCTCCTCAAAGATTGTAATCTCAATATTCTTTACTCCCTCTTTTTCTTGGGCATTATCGCCACAAATCTCCAGGAACTGGCCGTTTCCAGGATTCAACTTGTTTTGGTAGTTCATCTCTCTGCTGAACCCTCCATCATGGGGGACAAAACAGGTTCTCCACCGGTCAGACAGGCTCAAGTGGATCTCAAACCTTCCGGGATAGTAGGACTCAGATGGTTTGGGGAGAAGGGCATCTACATGGCGATGGTTTAAAGTAGGTCCACTGGTTCCTTCAATTCCATAGCATGGGGCCACATTTTTGTAGTTAGTCTTGTCAAGAGTAAGCATGCCAATAAAGCGATTGCCATCAGAAATGACAAAAGAAGGACCACTGTCTGTGGCCCAATATACTGTTTTCCCTTCTTGGGGCCTGACACCTTTGCATACGATTATTTTTCACAATAAATAAATTTCTTACAAGTGCTTGTTTTCGTCATTGCCTCGTTATTTAGCTTAACTCCTCGAAACTAAACTGTTTTCTTTTTTAAAAGATTTGTTCTTCCCTGAATCGGTATATGAAGCTGCGCGTGACCTCAGTGGCCTGCGGGGATGGACTTTCTCTTCGTTTAACATGAAGTAGTAACGAACACTTTCAAAATGGCGACAGGTACGAAAGAAATGAAGACATCTTTGAAAAATGCACGAGAGTGCATAAAAAATAAGGAATATAAGGAGGCTCTCAAACACTGTAAGGTAAATATCCAATTATCACAACTATTACTTTATGTGAAATCTTGTTACTTCATCAGATCAGTATAAATCCCTTTAAATTAGGTCTTAATACAGTACGGCGAACCTTCATGTGTAAGCTTTTAACATTTTAAGTACGTAAAGAAGTAACCCTGAGGGTCTGGCACGCGGTATGGCTGGTCTTTTCAAGATTTCTGAAGACAGTAAGTGCGTGGTTGATTATATCATTTCAAACTGCCATTTACTATGAATAACATCTTTCATTGTTATCTATCGTGAGGGTAACATCATGTTCTCTTATTGGTTGCTTCAATTTCACATGACTTTTTAATAAAACTGTCCCCTACCAAACGTTCAACGTTAGGGACCTTATGCACCAGTCAATTCCAGCTGCGCCCAATATGGTTGTTTTGCCAGCAAAATTCTCTACATGTACTTATATTCTGATAGGAAACCGCATGCATGTCAAAAGCTTGGGAATAGCCCTGGGGTTGGCAAATGCCCGGCCCCCAGGCAGAGCAAAATTTGCAAATGCCCCACCCCCAGGACTGACAAGGCAGGCAACGCCCCCGCAATAGCCCAGTGGGGGGGGGGGGGACCTGTGCGCAGCTGGAATTGACTGATGCATTAAGCAGGAAAAACTTTGACATCCTGGATGTCAAAACGGCAATCCCAAGTTGATATTTTCTCTCTTTCAGTGCTCTGGCTCGACAAATTCGTACAGTGGGAGTTAAAACAAAGGCATTCAGATTTTGTTATGTTAGTCAGAAGTATTCTGTCAAGCGAGACATCAAACTTCTGGTTGCTGTTGATGACGTCTGGGATGTAAACTTTTTGTTGCTTAAGCTCGCTATTGCAAAATCTGATGGCAGCAGCCTGGGGGGTTGGGGTTCACCTGTAAAAAGTGATTTTGTAGCTGGTTAAATAGATAAATATATAATATTATCGTTATTAATAACAATTTCCTTAAAAAACATGCCTTATTAAATTACTGGAACATCTCATATCATATTAACAGAAAAATACAGCTTCTGTCATCTTTTTTTGGTTCAATACTGTAAGAGATACTGCAACACCTCTTAGGGAAGCTTTTCATCTTATGGCACCTCCAACAAAAATTTTCCCCTTTAAAGATGATGAGCACCCCTGTTGAAATGTCTCCACCCCCAAATTATACCCGAAAATGTTTACTGCTCACCATGATTTAATTTCCTAAATTTTTAAACATACAGCTGTATAAGTTTTCCTGCGTGGTCTTTACAACAAACCACTTTCAACACAGTTTGCAGAGACTCAATCTAAATGATTTTTCCTTGTGCCTCGTGCAACTCTTAAGCCTCTTTCATGCTCTTCAAACTTCTGTTGTGCTTCATATCTCTGTCAATACATGTATCTGGCAGGCTGACACATGCACCAAGTTGTATTGTTAGCTGCTACCTGAGAGACCAGTCACTAAGTTAGTGTTTATTGTTCCATATTGGTATGTATATTTATAGGCTGTCTTGAAGTTGGATAAAACCAACTACACTGCCTTAGTGTTCATTGGCAAATGTGCTTCAGAGCTTGACCAAGCCGACCAGGCACTCATGGCCTACAGAAAGGCAATTGAATCTGATGAGTCACAGATCCTTGCTTGGCAGGTAAGGGATTAAACCTTAATTAAACCTTAATTGAACCTTGATTTAACCTATCCAAAGCTGAAAATAATTTATCAAAACATCTAAAAAACCACCAGCTAAATTTTTAAAGAACAAATAAAAAACTCTGAACTCTGAATTCATCAATCATATCCAGAATCCTGAACATAGGCATATAGCTCCCAAATTTCGGATAGGAAGTCATAATTTAAAGATAGAAACTGGAAGATTTACAATTCCCAAAACTCCTGAAGACCTTAGAATTTGTGATCACTGCTATGTAAACTCAGCTTAAAATGAAATGCTCATAATTATTATTTCACTCTAATCTATATAATGATTTGAGAAAGACTCTTTTTATTAAAATCACTGACTGAAATGCGTTATTTACAAATTACATTGTCCATGATAAAGTCTGTTTTTAACAATACTGATTCACATGTCAGCAGGCTAACTGCTAATTTCGTCTTTCAAGCATTTGAAAGACGAAAGACGCATTATTAATTCTACCATTCCATTATATCTTCATTTCCTTCACTTTAACTGTTTATTGTTATTTTAATCGGTAACACCTGTACAAAATGGTAATACTGAATTAACTTTTTGTTGTTGTTGAGTCCTGTGCATGTGTGCTTTATTTTTATGCTATATCAAATTCCCCTGGTTTTATGTTTTTTGTATGTGCATGATTCCTAATCCAGGTAATAAGCAAAACTGGCCAAAAGCCAATTTTTGTTTATTGCCTGGATTTTGTTTATTTTTGGTTTTCATGTCATGATTGCCAGATTTCATATCGTTGAGGAGGTCCATGTAATTTCAAGTTTTTGAATGATTGGATGTTAAAGGAACTAAAATAATTGGGAGAAAAAACATCATACACTGTAGACAGTTTGTGCTCTTAGTTCTTTAACTGGCAGGAAGAAAGATGGTCATTATTGTTAAGTTTTCATCAGTGATGTACTGAAGATTGTCTCAAGCACCTGAAAAAGATTTGCTCCTTACTGAAATTTAAATGCAAAACCTTGCTGTTTTAAGGGTCTCGCTGCTCTTTGTGAAAAAGAAAACAATCCACTTCTTAAAGGTGAACTTCCACAAGTTTACACCAAGCTTCTTCAGTTCTGTGAGAGGTATGTTGCTGCTACTATGTGATCTTATAGTGATTGGGGGGTGTTATAAGTCAAATTTCCTGTAAAATTGTGATGACTGCTTGATATGCCAAAATTTGATGGTCACTTACAAGTCAGGTGATTGCTAGCAAGAAGTTCCAAAATAATAGTGGAGCTCTGCTTATGCACTACTGGAGCCCCATAACTAACAAAATGTGGTAATCTAGCCATCCAAGAAATTTTATTGTTATGTAATCACGTGACCTTTCATCCGCCTGATCACTTGTTAGTCCACACCACCGGGAAACCAACATTAAATGCCATACTTTCTAGCTAGTGTGGGAGCCTGCAACCTGATATTGCACATCCATGTTGTGGTCAATTGACAGCTGTAAAAACAGGTTATCCGCTAACCAGCATAATGTGACTGTATTGCTGGCTCAGGTGTCAAACCATCAAGGTTATGTGTTTTTTTAAGTTCTCCGCTGACAAGTTACTATTTTTTGATTGATCTCAGGCTTAACTTTAAGTGGATGTCTATTTATTAATGGGAGCTTTCCCTTAAGCCTTGGCTAAATTTATTAAATTATGCTTTGCCTGCTGGAAGCACACTAATTTTGTAAAATTGGTCTCTCATGACAGATTGTTACATATGGAGATTTGGCAGTCACTGTGTTATTATAAAATTGTAGTAGTAAATGTATAGTTTTAATATGGACCGACAACTGTACTGGAAATGCAATGTATGTCCTTGGAGTAAGTCCATCACTTTCTCTTTACACAGTGACAAGACAAAATGGATTGAAATTGCCTCTAAACTTGCTGCAGTTCTTGAAAATCAGGGTGACAGTATAAAGGTAGGATAAATTAACTTAAAATGCATGCATGCATGCTCACATCAGTGACCTGCAAGTTTTCAGTAGATTTGGCCAACAGATCTGCAGGGCTTGAAAGTTGTACTGGAAACTGTGTTACCAAATTTTGTATGTTTATAAATGTCAGTGTGGTTATTTTTTTTTATGAGAAGGGGCAATGCACGAAAGAGTAATAATAAATAATTACTCTTTTGCAAAGCAAAACAGTTATGTGAGTCTTAATAACTTAGGAATTATTGATGTTATTATAAATAAGCTTTTAACTTTTATAGGCAGCAGAATTGTGGGAGAAGATTGTTATGGCAACTGAAAATGTTACAGAGGAGTTGAACATTTGGTTGAGAATTATTAAACTGCTTGAAAAGGTTAGTTGAGATAAACATTCGGCTCCTCTTAAAAGATCTACACTCTGCTGGAAAAGGCCATGATATTAGATGCATTACTGAGGGACATGGAACTAAGGAGAGTTACTTTAGGGTTATTTGTACAGGTTGTCACAAGGATTTAAAGATTGTAAAGACATTTTAAATCCCAGAAACTATTCTACTGAGCTTTTAATCATTTTTTATGTACTCAAAAATTTATGTATATAAGATGTAATTTTGGGAAAATCATATCATAAATTTGTAGCAGGGATAAAAATAAGGAGAAGAAAGTTTCTGACCTGCAAGAGAAGATGAGTGGCAACCATACTTTGTGATTTTATATAGCATGAATAATTTATTCTGCAAGTACGCTTGTTGTCATATTTGACTACTACAAGATCTTATGACATTTCACAATAAACTGTTTCTTGGAGAGGGAATGCAGTGTTTCAAAATCAATGAAAGCACAGTGCAACGAACACTGTTGACCAGAATCTCATTCATTTTGTTTTGCTTGACAGCATATGCATTCTTGGGCAAGTCATACTTACGTTAAATGTTAACAGAAGGTCTGTTATGTAATTTAAATATAATTATTTAATTATTATCAGACAGCTTGTTGTCTGACAATGATTAAACTATGAAAAATGACACATTTTTAAAATTATTTTTTCCAGGAATCCCTAGGAGATAAAGATATTGGGAAGGTACCTACAAAAAGCTTTTTGCATCAATGACACAATCTTTTTAGAGTATAAAATTCTTGCAAAATCTATTCTGTCTTATTCTGCAAATCTTTGTCACTTGCACATCATTTTACTGTATTCCTTTTCAATGATAAGAGTACTACCTGTCTTCTTTAATGCTGGAATTATTTAATTGTAATAAAATCTTGTATGAAATTTTAAGTTACAGGAGGCCTATGAGAAAGTTGCTCATGGCCACTGGCCATTGTCTGAGCTGGGCCCAAATAATGAGCTGGAAAATCATTATGAAAATTTCCTCAGATTTTTGTTGAAACATCAGGTAAACAGCAAATATAATAATTATTACATCTGTTGCAGGTCAAAATTTCAAACAATTAGGGCTAGGATACAGAGGAATTGAGAATCAACTTAGGTTAAAAAATTTTGACCTGTAACATACAGCTGTACATATATCCACTTTAAAATGACGGGAAAAGGTTTTGATACAAACCTGGTCTTGTAAATGTGGGACTTTCTCTTTTGCCACTTCTTCCTTGAATTTAGAAAAGCTTGCCATTTTTTATTGTGTATAGTTGTGGAAGATTGTTTTAAGTGTATTAACTATGGTAGAAATTATTTTAGTATACATTCAACTCCCTCTTAGACAGACACCTTTGAGAACCAGCACTACAGGTCTATGTGTCAGGGGCACCCAGCTACGGTCTCCTCCCAAATACATTGAAAACACTTTTTAGGCTATCCAGAGTACTTTTAGATCTCTAGAAAAGCATTCTAAGCAGCGCTGTAAAATTTGTATCTGTTCGGTCATCCTAGGGGAACTTGAATTTTTCGAAATTGCAAGGGCTTGAGCATTATTTCCCCGAACATTTTAGATGAAATTTGACGCATTATGAAAGTGAGACATTTTCTAATTCCCCTCTCCATAACATTTTTGAATCCCAAAATTTTAGGTTTCCTTTTTTCAATGAAAAATAGCCTAACTTGGGGAGTAAAATCGGAAAATTAAACTTCAGAAAATGGTAGGGAATTTATTAGATAAGCTTCGAAAATTGTACATGAATGGAACGGTCATCTAGAAATTGTTCGCTGTTGTCAAGTAGTAGAACATTCTAGGCAATATTTGCCTCTCCAAACAGACGTTTTAAAGAAAGCAGTTGTTGGGTGCCCCTGATGTGTCCATCTTAGACAGATGTCTATTTTGTAGAGAGTCAACTAAATAGATATGGTAGGGTTGAAATCTAGGTGTCCGTTAGTGAGGTTTCGGTCTTATAGAACTGTCCGTTGAGAAAGAGTTCACTGAAGTATCAATAATTTATTGTTGATGAGTTGAGTAATAATGAAAACTATGGTTAAGCTTATTCGAGCATTTATGGTAGTTAGTTAAGTGGTTTTTTTTACGTGCTATTAATAGAGACATATAAGCATTGTGTTTACAGCAAATGACAAACGTGAGATTCAAGTTGAGAAATCTTCAAAATGAGAAATGAGCAGATAAAAACAGCTTAAAAGAATTCTCACGGATAGAACTGGTGTGAATCTACCGATTTTCGTGTACTTATAATGAACAGTAGACAATAAGTAAATGGAAAACTTGGTCACGTGCTACAAATTCACGTTTGCCATTTGCCATAAACACGATGCTTATTCTCTTTAATGACCCTTGACCCAAAATCCCTCACTTCATTGAATCAGTTACTTGCAGTACGATATGTTTCTCTATGTGTGACAGAAGTAGAACTTGAACTAGAACCGGGAACTAGAACTCAGAGGGTCTTGAGTTTGATTCTCACTTGGAGCTCGGAATTTTTTCTGAGCTTTCTGGTGTTACAATTCTCCTTCTTCCAAATTCTATTCACGGTGTTCCTTAGCCTACGTAGTATGGCGGTTTTGGTTGGGCGCGCTAAGTAATAAAGGCGGGCGAGGGCAGAGAAACCGCGAGGAGATTGGGGCGGAAGCAACTTGAAAAACCGCCTGCACGCACGGACGGGGGGCTTTTTTGAGTCGGTCCGCACGCCAGCGTACGGATCGTTCCGATTGGTTCGGAATGTTCGCCTGTCAATCAAATATTTTGGTAATCTCCCATGGGAGAGTTTCGAGGGACTGAACAAATCATCTCCGCAAAACAAAATCAAAATATCAAAGAAGCGTTGACCGGAGCGTCGTCGATCTTGAATATTTGACGGGAAAATAGGGCAATTGTATTGAAGCCTAAACAGGAAATGGCCATTTACAGTCTTCTTCAAAGGAGAGATGTCATGGAAATTTTGTCAACAAGATTTGGCAAGAGCATGATCTTTACTGTCTTTGCTATGGCCAAAGAAGAAATATCCTCATCGGAAACCTGTATGATCACAATTTCCCCTCTAAAAAGTACTATCGAGGACCAGATATCTGAAATGGTGTCGCTGAGATGTAAAGCAATGGACCTTATGACAGAAACAGTAAATTTCAGTGCTTCGAGAAAGTTCACCTCAATTTTCTCTATTACTCGGACTACTCGGTGTTAGAGAATAACGCACTCCAGCGCAATACATCGAACGGCGTCCGCGATTGTGGTCGATGAATCGTATATGGTAGAAGACGCACGGTGTGATTCTCCATACTTTTTTGCTTGGTGTAGCTTAAGCTACAACTCAAATCTGAAGATCGCGCTATACGTAAAAATACAACATCCTGCAAACAACAGTTAAAAAGCCGGGCCCAGCGTCAAAACATTCACGGACAAAGCAGTGACAAAGAAACTACAAACCAAGGCTCCTTGGTTTGTAGTTGTCCAGATCCAGGCATTTTAGTCGGAAAAGACCAAAGAAACTAAAATATTTATTTAGCCGTAATAAAAAGTTTTAGGCTTTAAGAGTGGTCAAAGAAATTAGTACTTTACAACTGCATCTGAGATCAACAAATTCTAATTAGCGAAAATAACATTAACCACAGGAAATAATTACTCAATACGGATTAAACAAACCAACTCCATGACCTCTAAATAAATGTAAGCAAATTAATAAGATCTACTCAGTCAAGTTTAGAACGCAGTGTAGTCACCTATGCGCAGATAGCGACAAAGAAAAAACCCGTGTTTGTTCAAGCAAACTCCAATTCCGGCCAAGGTCACGTTTTACACCATATCACGAGCTTTTGTGTCGTGTTTAGGCTGTCAACACTTTATTTCTGATTGGCTGGGAAAACTGAAACCAAACAAGTTGTCAACAGGATGTCAAAATGAGTTGAAGGGGGCGGCAGTTGAAAAGGCCACGAATCCGGGCAGGCGGTTTTTATTTTTCTCGCGGCTTCGCCGCTCGTTCTCGCGCGCTTCGCGCGCGAATTTCGCGGCTACGCCGCTCCTGCGCCTAGCCTGCGTGCAGACGATAACTAAACAGAGTTTAATTTCGTCTGCGCGCAGGCTATCCTGCGCCCGGCTCAACAAAACCGCCATGCTATGCAGGCTACGCGTTCCTTTAAAACATACATGTGTTATAATTGTTATCAAAACACTGTTTCTCTGTTTAATGGAAACATCTCTCTCTTAGGCTAGTGGAGATGAAGAACTGGAGAAAAAACAAAGACTTAAGATTCATGATGAAGCTAAAGCCATGGTTCAGTTGTTTCCTTGTTCCTTGTTTCCTTTGGAGTTACTGGGAAGACATTTTATTCACTCAATGGTTTCTGCACGTAAGTATTTCTTTGAAAGGATTTTTCTGCAGGTTAAGTCCGTCTTTGCTCAGTGTTTACAACACTGAATATCGTGTGTCTTGATTCTTCAACTCACCAACTTTGTGATTTACTTTAAGGAGGAATACAGAATTCACAGTCTGTGGAAATGTTCTTGCAAAGAATTCTGCTAATTAATCATAAATTGCCTACAAATTCTTATAGTCCGTTGGCAAATGTTTTTGAAATCATATAACGATTTAGCCAGGGCTAAATTAAAGCGAAGCTCTCGTTAATATACTTATAATTTACTCAAACAAAAAAATAAAATCGTGTAATGCTAAACGGCGACGGCGACGGCAACGAGAACAGCACAAAAATCAATAGGTCTATTTAGCAGCACACTTTTTTTCCTACTTTTTTCTCGACGTTGTTTTGCTCGGCTACGACGTGAAACTCCCTAGTAACACATCTTATGAAGGAAATGTTGTACAGTGGAACCCCGTTAATACGACCACCGTTGGGCCATAAAATCCTGGTCGTAATAACGAGGTGGTCGCATTAACGGGGTCTTCAAAATAAGAAAATGAGTCAATGTTTTTTACGTTTGGTTTGAAAGAATATGGCCGTAATAACGAGGTGGTCTTATAAACGGGGTGGTCGTAAGGCGGGGTTCCACTGTACATGTTTGTGCACACCAAAAGTTTTGTTGCTTGTGTTCCTGTTGGCTTTTTTTCACTGCTGCTCATTTTCACCTTGCTGGCCACTAGCATTTCTCATTTTCTCACCGCCAATTTTCATGTTTTTCTTCCAACGAAATTTGCCTTCTTTGTTTTTTTATCTAACACTTTAGCTCTTTATCCGTTATCCACGTCAGTAAAGACGTTTTTATTTAGTCGGACTTGACTCTGTTGTTGTTTTTTCTCTCTAAAATGTCCGGGTGGTCCATGCAATTTCCCGCCCAAAAACTCCGTGTTGCATCCGGGTTGCCATACCTGGTGATTGAATTATTATACATTGGTATACCTGTGGTGTAGACGGGAGCGCGTACGGTCATGTGATTACCAAAATTTTTATGGGATGCATAGATAACCAAATGTTATTACCAGTGGTGCACTGCACGCGCGGGAGATCCGCCATAGGCCCTTTGCAGCTAGGCATTCACGTGGTAGAAAACCGCTGTGCTGGAGACCAAAGTCGCACTGGGACAATACAAACAAAGTAATTAAGAAATTACCATTTAACATTATGTATGCCTTTGGTTTGTCTCCTCTCAGTGCGACTTTTGCTCTCCAGCGTAGCTTGTACCACGTAAATGGCTAGCTGCAAAGGGCCTATTACAGTAATAGTGAACAAAGAACATGAAGCATAATTATTTTAGATTGGTGGGGCTAGCTTGTGCGTAGCACGAAGTCAATGAGCGCTGAAGGTGCGAGTTTATCTAGCAGGGTACCAGTTATTGGCTTTAATTGATTGCAGGCTCAGGTCCATAGTAAAAAAGGCCATATAATAAATAACTTATTAACCTTGTCCGTTCAGTCATTACAGGGAAATCTCAGACCTCGGCCTTGATGTAATGACCTCGCTGTCGCTCGGTCAATACATCAAGGACTCGGTCTGAGCCTTTTCCCAGTAATTACCTCACTAAGGGTTAATAAGTAGTATTAATTTATTGGGTGACTCCATTTGGTCTCTAACTAGCCTGTTCCAGGCGTTCAGATGGTGGGGAGCAGGCGAAAAATTAGGGTGCAGTACGATTTAACTTGCTCCCCACTATCTAAACGCCTGAAACAGGCTAGTCTGTAACAGGGCGTTACAATGTACTTACAGCCACTGCAGAGATGACATCCTTATTTCAGAGATTGTGTCACATGTATCCTGAATCTGGTGTAGGCTTGGTTGGACTAGGAATTGTATTACTTCATCAGAAGGAGGCCTTAATGGCCAAAGCATTACTACACAAAGGCAAGCAAAAGTGTCATTTAACTGATGATTGAAAATGACTTTAACTTGGGGCTCTTTAGTTTGTTTGGTCATAGTTAGTACAAGAGACTTGTTATGAAAGGCGGCAAACATCAAAGATAAAAACAACAGTGCTGCAATGTTATGGAAGCTCCCTGATGGTGCATTATTGCAGATTGTGACGTCTTTATTGCAATTGGTCAGTAAGATCAAAATATTGGCAATGCTATTGAACTTTGGGCACCGTAAAGTTTAATAAAACAAATGACAAAAGAGACTGACGGGCTTTATAACCATTCCATTGTATTAACTATGGTTAGGCAGGAAGAACATATCCCATTCCAAATCTGAACCAGGAACATCCCAGCGAGAGACATGTTTCTGACCTTTAACTATAACATATTCAGCTTGGAGTGGAGTAGATCAGTTAGTTTGCATTGTTCTTGTGTAGGTTTGCAGGTGTTCAGTAATTGTCCATTTGGCTGGCTGGCTTTATGTCATTCTCAGATAAGTCTTCACGACTACAAGGAAGCAGAGAAAAGTGCACTAAAAGGTACAGCATAGTCTCGCTCTCTGTTTTCAGCCTCGTTCCAGACCTTTTGTTTGACTGCTCGCGCGTACTTGAATACGCAAAAATACGGACTGTTTTGCATTCTAAGCATACATGGCCTCAAAAAACAAATAACATACTATTCTTTTGTCCATATATATTTCAAAACCCTGCAACTTAAGGAACGTTAAAACGGGCAGCAAAAACGTGCAATTTGTTTGGCAACGTTGCTGCAAAACGAGTCGAATAGCTATGTTTTGCGTTTTAGCGCCCACGAATCAAACCTGTCTTGCAACAAATCAGGTTGTTGTATGTTGCGAAAAGTTGTTGCGGAAAGTAGAGACTAGTTCTACCCTTCGCATCAAACTCTGTATATGTTGCGCGTTTTACCGGCCCCAAGGCAAACTTGCAACAAGTAACATAACTGCCATATATAGGGTGACTTCCGTTTAATTATCCAATCAGAAGTCAGTATTCATATCAAGCAAATTGCAACACCCCGATTTGTTACAAGACAGGTTTGACCGTGGGAAATAAAACGGGCAACATCGCTTTTTAACTCGTCTTGCTGCAATATTGCAAAACAAGTTGCACGTTTTGTTGCCTGTTTTACCATAGCTTATCGCTGTCTTTGGTGTATATATGTTGTTCTTTGAGAACACACAATGAACCTACACCAGGCTGAAAGTTGTTGGAGAACGTCAGTATTTTGCCTATTTTTTCGTTAAGACAAGAAAACGTGCATAGCAAATACTTCTATCTAAAGGACGGTCTAACAGGGTTCTGGCCAAATCTAGCACTCACCTATTGAAATGCTGTGATAGGTAACAAAACTTAACAAGACAATAGGAATGTTTAAAACTCAACCCCTTTTAATAAATTATGTGTTAGGTGCAAAAAATGTCTTAAGTCTTTTTAATGCTGAAAGTGTTTGTTCATTTTTCTTTCAAGTACATTTTATTAGTGTTCTTTTTGTTTTTCTATTGATTAAAAGGCCTTGGTTGTCTACGTTCATCTTTTCCTGACACAAGACAAGAACTTCAGAAAAAATTAAGGTAGACAGGTTTTAGGTACTGGATATGTTATTTATGTGAGTGATAATAATTTTTTTTATTTGCTGTCGTAATGATTGTTTTGTATTAAAATTAAACCGTTAGTATTCACCATTGTTGTATCGCTTCTCTGACAGCTTATCCAGGGCAGAAGCTCTTCAAAAACAAGGCCCAAGTACTGCATTTTCAGCAAAAGACATTTATCAAGAGGTTTGTAATAATGCATCACAGTAAAGACCCCATTTTTTGAAACAGCGGTTTTTCGAAATTCCCGATAATTCGAACCAAACCAACTTCCCTTCACCAGTCAACACTGTAATTTTACTCCCGATTTTTCAAACCTTTCCATAATTCGAACTAATTTGCTTTTCCAAAGGTAGTTAAAAAAAATCGGGATTCCACAGTGTTGACAAAAACATGAACAATCACTGACATTGCAGTAATGACTTTCATGTATATAATCTTCATTTCAGTTATTGAAAGATGTTCAGCCTAGAGATGAGGTAGAAATTCTTACTGGACTGGGAAAAACGTTTCTTTCTCTTGACGACATCACACAAGCAACAGAAGTGAGTAATATATATTCTACTTATAGTGGTAGATCTTTAAGATAAGGAGGCTGGGGGAGGGTTTGGCGTTCGCAATATGGACCATAAGATCTGGCGACAACAACTCAGCACGTCAAGCTTTTTAGTACATTCCCTTGATGACTCTGCATGACATTGACTACGACGTGAACGTGGCTAAATTTTCTTTCTCTTTCTGAACTAGGATATGGTTTTTTAGGAATTCAAATCGAGGAGAGTTAGCCTACGTTAATTTTTGACAAAGAAAGTGAGTTTGAATAATCGCGATGGAGATCGAAATAACGCGAATTCTTTTTTAAGCGACGTTTTCGCTGCTGTCGCCGTCCTTGGATCTTAACATCCTTACTGTTTTTTCTAGTTTGAGGCCAACAACGTTTTTTCCTGTTGAAATAGTTCTCAGGCACTAGTTGTTCAAAAGGTTGGGGTAGCACTATACAATGGATTAAATCAATGCCCACTGGATTGTGCAATTGGTTTTTCTATGACTTACCCAGTGGCGAATAGGAACTGTTTTTCCGGTGGAAAGTGTTATCCATCTTTTGAACAACCGGGACCTGAACTACTGTCAGATACTGGAGCAAACGTAGTTTTAGGGATACATGTTTAGAGACCTTCACTGAATAACAACGCCACCGGACTTTGAAGCAGTAGGCCTAGGTTTGATTCCAGCCAGGATCAACTTTCCGGACCCTAAAATATCTGAGGTGAAGTGCTGCCTGCAAATGGTTAGACAATTTTCAGCCTTCTCGCGTAAGGACTAAAAACTGTAGGCCCTGTCTCACAGCACTTTCACTGATAATATGACTCTCTGGGGACCTAAGAGAGCCCACAATGCCGTTCGCAAAGAGTAGGGGACCTAGACTAGACTAGTGTGGTCATGGATGGGATGCGTAGTATTGCATGGTTCAGAGGATGGGACCAATAAAGTATTTTTAATGTCCATGGACTGCCCTTTTCCTCTCAGTAAATTACTGAGGAGGAGGGGGGGAGGGTGTCGTCTGTACCCAGGCTATGGGCTGCTAGACTTAAGAAAAGACATCATTTTTCCAGACCTGCTCTGACTTGTTGTTAATATGTGCCACAGGTTTGTGCGAAAGCTTTGTCCATTGATAAAGGCTCCCCAGAAGCTCTTTCCTTGCAGGTATGCGGTGAAGTACTAATTAGTCGTTAGGTTGATAGCGTGCTGGTCGGACGTTTTCTAGATCACTCTTGGCTTTTTACTAAATCTGTAATAAATTTTTCAACTATGACTAGAACGGAGAAACTAGAGAAAGAAAACCAAGCGTAAACGTGACATGACATGACATGACCTGTCATTACATTACATTAACATAACATACATTACATTACATTAACATAACATAACGTATCGTAACATTATATTAACATTAGCATAACATAACATAACATAACGTAACGTAACGTAACGTAACATAACAACATAACATAACAACATAACATAACGTAACAACATAACATAACATAACAACATAACATAACGTAACAACATAACAACATAACACAACATAACACAACATAACATAACAAACATAACATAACAAACATAACAAACATACATAACATACATAACATACATAACATACATAACATTACATTACATTACATTAACATAACATACATTACATTACATTAACATAACATAACGTATCGTAACATTACATTAACATTAACATTACATCACATTAACATTCATTACATTAACATTACATTACATTAACATAACATAACATAACATAACATACATTACATTACATTACATTAACATAACATAGCATAACAACATAACATAACATAACATAACATAACACAACATAACATAACGTAACGTAACGTAACGTAACGTTACATTACATTGCATTGCATTGCATTAGTTCAAACTATGGTTTGATCGAAGGAAGGTCCCCCAAAGGACTGGACCTGGTCAGTGGGTGCCTCTACGGATGATTAAGTGGAACTGGAAACTTGTAACTAGAGCCTTTAAATGTGTTTGAGCCTGTAACCCCAAGATCCAGTTATCATAAAAGAAAATGATATTTTAATTAATGGTTCAGATAAGTAATAGGCTGATTTAGCAACTGATTGATTTGCGCCTGCCGTCGTCAATTGACGTTCCCCTTCTGTTGCTAAATCAGCCTAATATGAAAGCAACAACGGTAAGGAAC